TCTCTTCAGGCCTCAGTGGACCTGTCTCTGAAATGGGAGCGTTCCAGAAGGTGGCTCTTGGGAGAGACGTTCCTACAAAAAGTCCTTGAGAAACGACTTCCTAACATGGCCGATGGCGCCTGCTTCCCCCCCTTGCTCTCAACAGGAAATTGAGTCTTATTTATAAGAATCACAATTCTAAACTGACCTTGGTTGGGCTAACCCACATTCCCTCCCTCGCTTCCCGCCCCTGCTCAAGACCGCCTCCTCCCTGACCACAGAGCAGCCAGCACTGACCAGTGCTCAGGAAGTCAAGCAGACACACACTGGAGGCTGGCTTCTAGACGGGGAAACCGAGGCCAGGAGAGCTCAGTGGCTGGACCAAGGAAACAGAGCATGTAGGCCTCCTGGTTCCGAAGCCACTGTTTTCTTTGCTGCACTGTGACTGCTCCCCCCATGCCTCCCCCTCCTTGGTTTGGGGGAAGGGCCCGAGCAGATGCACCCTCCTCCTCGGTTTGGGGGACGTCTCTTTGCTCTGAAGGTCAGAGGTCCTTAGAGACACATTTCCCACCAGGAAAGGGGCTGGGAAGAAAGCTGGCACCGCTCCCTCTGCTTTGAAGCTCCCTGGCCCCTCCTGGCCCTATGTGCTGGGAACCAGCCCAGCTCCCAGAACCCCTGCCCTTTCCGAGGAGGGGAAGGGCCCGAAGAATGCCCCCGCCCTGCCCGGCCAGGCGGCACCACAGGTGACCCCTCTGTGTTTTCACTGCCAGAGCATCAAGGGCTCCCACACACAGCTTCAAAGCCAGAAAGGCTCAAGGTCAAGTGCAATCATGAGCGAGCCCTGGGCCTAGGACTCTGAAGCATCCCATCGGAGGCTGTTTTAAAGCAGTGTTCCCACAGAATCTTGCAAAGCCCATAATAGCTCAATGGGCATAGCATTCGATTTCTGCGGGGATCCCAAGCTTTGGCTGAAGCACACAGCATGTGAGCATGTGGTTGGGGGGGGGGGGAGTCCATGTCACTCTCCGCTTGCTTTTCATTTTCCAGATGAGGAAGGTATGTAATTACTTATCTTTTGTCCCACAATGGTTCTTAACCACGGCTACACATTAGAATCACCTGGGGACGTTTACCAACTAGAACGCCTAAGCCCTAGCACACCCTAAGACCAATGAACTCGGAATGTTTACATCCATGTTGTTTAAGCATCCCTGGGGAGTCCTGGGCGGGGCTAAGTTTAAAACCCTCTAGAACAGTGTTTCTCTAAGTTCTCTCATGATGAGAATCACCTGATGGAGTTGTTAAAATACAGATTCCTGAATCCCAACTAAGAAACTAAGTTAAGTATACAATTTTACCTATATGTTCCCCAAAATTCTAGGTTAGCACTTCTTAGTTGGGATTCAGGAATCTGTAGTTTAACAGCTCCACCAGGTGATTCTCATCATGAGAGAAGTTTGGGAAACACTGCTCTAGAACTTCAACAGAGGAAAGCCGGGCTCCTCAGTGTGGAGACACCACCGAACACCCAAGTCCCACGCAGGGAACAGGAATACCGTGTTTCCCCGAAAATAAGACCTAGCGCGTGGAAAGGTAAGACATCCCCTGAAAATAAGACCTAGTGCAACTTTGGGAGAAAAAGTTAATATAAGACACTGTCTTATTTTCGGGGAAATGGTAGTAGCAACCAGCCTGTTATCTCTTCGCCTGTTTCTCTTTGTCAGGCCTTCCTGACCACAGATACCTCCCAGATAAGCTAACAGTGTTTCCACTAACTTGTTTCTCCTCCTCTCCCCACTCCCCTGCAGCACCCAAAGGCTGCCTGCCCTCTCCTGGAGACCCAACTCAGACACAGGAACACGGGGGAGGGGGGGGGGGTGTGCAAATCGGAGGGACGCTCTCAACCCTGCATGTCGGGATCCAGGAGTGATGCAACCTCAGGGAGCTCTGGCCGGACGCTCCCGGAGCAATCCACAGCAGGTCAGTCACTCCTGGCCCCGGACACACGCGCCAGCTGGACGAGCGGCAGGAAGCAGAATCCTTGACCACATGGCGAGGTCAGCCAATGGGCTCCCGCAGCCCTGCAAGGATGCCCGTAGGAGAGTCGCAAATATGTAAACATCCGAGGAAAGGAATCTTCTCAAGGCACCGAAGAGACTTACAAACAAGAGGCAGCAACTCCATCATCGCAAAATCATAATGCCGACTCTCATAAAAGCTCCATCTCCCTGGGAGGACACTCCCATCCTCGCTTTTGCTGGAGAAGACACGGCTGCCTAGCAGAACGGCTTCGAGAGAGCGGGGACAGAGGCTGGACATATCTCTGCAGCAGACACAGAGTGCTACCCCCACCGCCCTTTAGCTCCAGACACCTCTTCAGAGGCTGCAACACCAAGGGGAACCAAGCCAGCGCCTATAAACAACAGGCTAGTGGGGAATATGTATGCAGCAGGCTGGGGAGCGTGGAAAGTAATTTCTCCTACATCCACTGCTTTAATAAGATGCACAAGTTAAGAGAAACCATTTTGAGAATCTGGAGACAATGTTGAGGCATTCTACTTACTTATTTAGACACCTAGAATGAAGCGTTTCGGTAGCGAATTTTAAAAGTGTCACCAGTAAGAATTCTTCTGTAGAACTTGAACCTATGTCCGAGAGCCCTGGGAGTGGATCTTGCTTTTTCTTTTGAACTGTGTCCGCAAGCCACTGGACCTAGTCATTCCATAATTGCCCAAGCTCGCCTTTCAAAGGGGGCGGGGCCTCAGCCTCTGAGAAGCGGGAGGACAGGAAGGTTCGGGTCAGAGCTGAGCTGATGAGTTGAAGATGGGGCCCGCTGTGGTTTCTTTTGCACAGACCAACATTGGAATTCAGTGAGTGTTCAAAGCACCATGCACCTACTTCTCACGAGAAGAGAATGGGGAATTTTGCAAGGACGGGGAACCCCCACGTTCCCTGGCTGACAGGTACAGTAAACACGTTAGTAGCATTCACCAGGGAGACCCAAAGTGGAGATTTCTCTCGAATCAAACACGGAAAGATGAGCTAGATTAGCCTCTGCGACTCAGATAATTCTCAGACACAGCTACTTAGCACTCTGCGTCTGATTTATCGCAACACGATGAGGCAGATGACATGTGTTACCCAAAACATCAACACATCGAGCTGGAAAGCAGTCTCCCTCAGTTGGCAAAGTGCCCGGGGCGGGAGGGTTTCAAGCTCTCAAGAGGAAACGAATAAGGACGAAGCCTCTCTCAGGTCAAAGGCCAAGTCCAAAGCTGGAAATACAGAAACCTCCTGGGAACAACTGGGCATTTGGAAAGAAGACCCCAAATGTAGCCTAACTTAGAGGGATGAATAAGCTGATGTGAGAGAGGAGCTTGTGGCCTGGACCTAACACACTATTCAGGAATAGCTAGACCCTGAGCTGGAGGGGTCCCCAGGAGCTAACATTTTTCCCATCAGGGGGCCCCTCAAGTTCTGAGTTCCCTGGGAGGGTCCCTCCCACAGGGCAGAGGAGGTGGAATGGGGAGGGAGCAGCGAGCTGCCCTTCAGGAGAGGAACTGGGGCTTCCTCCGGGGATCTGGGAGGACTGGGTGAGGGCGCCATCAGTCATTGGGGCACAACACTGACGTGGTCCCGGCAGAATTTCACACATACACACACACACACACACACACACACACACACACACACACACAGCACCAGGTTAGAAACCTGGGAGAGGCTCCAGGGAGTTTCACAGAAAGAAAGAATTTGCCAACTCACATCGCCCTGCAACCTGCAGCTGGCCCTGCTCCTGGCACAGACCTTTAAGCCTTTGCACGTGAGGCCCTGTCCGCCATGTAGGTCTTTCGCCCTCACCTGCACCTCAGGTGACTCAGATGAGGGGAAAAATCCATGGGAATATCCAAAGCCACAAGACAGGGCTAGCCTGGAAGGGGAACGAAAGCCAGTCCCTAGCGCGTCCTTAATGTCAGTGTCCGCAAACAGAACTGCCCCGGAGTGGGAGTGCGAGTCCCTGGGAATCTGAGCGGCCGCCACTCTACTCGCCCTGTCCCAGGGGAAAACAAATTTAGTAACAGTTACTTCCTCTGTCAGGTCTGGCACAGCCGAGTCTGGGATGAGAAAGTGCCAGAGGCTTTTCCCAAAAGGAAGGGGGGCAGAGGTCTCCGCTGCGTCCCATCCAGGAGCAGCCCTTTAAGTGCTTTTCCAAAGGTCTGCAGCCCGAGGCTTCCAGACTCCAGCCCGGGGCTGCGAGCTGGGCACCGGGCACCACCCGGGCCGGCCGGCCCACCAGGATGTGGCCAAGACCCCCGGCCACACCCAAAACCTGCCCAGCTGCGCCCCAGGCTCAGCCCTCAGGCCGGCGCCTCCACGCGCTCCACCTGCTGAGCACCCCGTTCGGCGCCCACTCCCTGCACCCTCTCCTGCTGGGACAGGGCGGGGCGGGGTAGAAGGGCTGGAAGGAAGACGGTTCCCTGAGCTGCGGGGGTAGAAGGGCTGGAAGACGGGGCGGCCCAAGGTGCGAGGGGGGCTGCGCGCCCACCCCCCTCCCAAGCGCAGCCCCCACGGAGCCTTCCATCCCGCGGGCGCCGGGCAAGCAGATCCAACAACGCACCCCTTTGCCCCGAAGCCGCCCCGGACGGTTCCGACCTCATTCGGACCTCCTCGGCCCGCCCCCCACCCCACCCCCACCCCCCAGCATGGTCCTGGGCGGCCAGGACTTGGGAGCGAGGGGTACAGCGCACCCTCTCTCCTCCAACAGGTGAGACGCTCCGGCACGCCGCCCCCAGCCCGCCGCCCGCTGGGAGGATCAAAGGGGCCGGGCCGCGGCGCCCAGATAGGAGTCCGCGCGCCCCGCAGCCGGGGTCCCGGGCTGCGCTCAGCGAGGCGGACGCTCCCACCTGGGTCCCGGCGGGACGGGGGTGCAGCGGGGACGCCGCGCCCTCCCCGGTCTCCTCCCCGCGGGGTGCGGGGCGGGGAGGAAGCGGGTGCCCGTGGCGGGGGACCCGCGCCCTTACCTTTGTACCGCTCCATGGGGCCCGGGTGCGCTCCGCCGTCCGCTCCGGCGCTGCTCTCCGCTCCGTCCGCGCCCGCCGGGCGCCGCTGGCCCCTCCCCGTGATGTCACCCTCCCGGCCGAACCTCCCGGCGCTCCCGGGCCCCGGACCTCGGACCAAGTCCCTGCCGGCCCGCCGCCCCCGCCAGGGAGCTCCGCGGAGGACCCTCCGCGCGCAGGTCCGTGCGCTCCGGGCTCCCTCCCCGCCGCCCGCCCGCCGCTGGCAGCGCCTCCCGTCCCGGCCCCGGGGCGGTGGGTGGGAACCAGCCCGAGCCGCGTCCACACCCCGGGGCGGCTCCGGGAGGGGAGGCTCCGGGGAGGGGAGGCTCCGGGGAGGGGCCGGCTCGGCGGGCCTAAGGGAGCGGCGCTTCCCAGTGCGGGACGCGGACCCACTGCCCGGAGGCGGAGACTGAGGCCGGGAGCGCCTCCCCTTGACCTCCGGCCAGCGCGCTCTGGCCTCTGGCCTCCTTGGAGGGGCAGCTGGGGGAAGTGGCAGCAGCTGGGCCCCGTCCCCGGCCTGCCCAGCTCTTTGGGAACCGTTCCCAGCCGGCCCGCACACAGGAGGGCTTGTGAAACGTCCATTTGCTGTCTTCTCTTGGGGCCCAGGCTCCCCGGAGCCGTCGGCCCAGACCCCCTGGGAAGGGCTGGGATTCCTGGAGCCGCCTTGGCAAGTCTGGAGCTGCAGTTCCTGGGCCGCTGTACCATCGGTGGCATCCCCAGGGAGCTCAGCCAGGGCTCAGATTACCCCCTTCCTACCCTTTCCCCAGCCGCTGCCACCAGGCGCCACATTCTCTCCATCTTTGCCATCTGTCCCTCCGGCGTCTCCACAGGCCCCAGCCCTCCCCGTCTGTCCCCAGAGGAAGTCCACGCTTTCCTTTCACCGTTTCCATGTTCACGTCCCAGTCTCAATCGCGGTTTGTTCAGGACTCCTGGGCTCTCGGCAGGTCCCCCCCAGCTTCCTGGAAGGAGGACTCGGTCAGGGAGACGTGTTGTTCCTGCTGCTGGTTTCCAAGGCTTCTTGCTTCTTCTTGGAACAGCAGGGTCGGCCCTGATGGTTGGAGACCTTTGCCCTAGCACAGCGGTCAGTAAACTGGGGCTTGCGAGCCATATGCGGCTCTTTAGTCCCTTGAGTGTGGCTCTTTGTCTATTTTGGAGAATTGGCGTCAGAAAAAGTTTAAGTTGAAAAAATTTGGCTCTCAAAAGAAATTTCAATCGTTGTGCTGTTGATATTTGGTTGAATGAGTTTGCTGACCTCTGACCTAGCAGTCCTGCAAGTCTTTTTCTCTGTAATCCGAGCAGCTAACACCCAGGAAGTCATCCCACCAACCGGGCCTGGTATGAAGGGCTGTCCATGCGGTGCCTTCAGTGTCCCCATGACCCTGTGATGTGAACCATTTCAAGGTCAAACAGTTCCTTGTTGCTGAAGCCAAAAGGGAGAAGCCAGCCCTGGCCGGTCTTGCCCAATGGTTAGAGCGCCGGCCCACATGCAGAAGGGCCCTGGGTTCGATTGTCAGTCAAGGGCATGTACCTGGGTCAGAGCACACTTGAGGGGCAACCAATCGATGTCTCTTTCACAGCCATGTTTCTTTCTCTCTCTCTCCCTCCCTTCCCTCCTATTCCACTCTCTCTAAAAATTAGTGGGGAAAATATTAAGAAAACAAACAAAAAACACACACACAAAAAAAGGGAGAAGCCAGGAGTGGAGGAGGTGGGGCTGGAGGGGTGGGGCCCAGAACACCGGGGAATGTGAAAGCCATGGGGATTGGCGGCTTTGTAAAGGGCGGGGCCTCACAGCTCCCACCTGGCAGAGAGGAGGGCCGAGTGCAGGAGGGAGGAGTCTCTGCGGTGGTGGAAACCCAGGTGGGGAGGGAGGAAACCCAGGTGGGGAAAGGGCAGAAACCTGCAGGAAGTTCAAAGCCAAGACTCTGTGCCTGGGCTCAGGGTGACGGACAAGGAAGCCCTGAGGCTGACCCTGCAGTTCCAGCAACATGGGTGACTAAGTGGAGAGCATTGCCGCCCTTGTGCTCTGTCAGCCCTCCAATGGGACCGGGGCCGGGTAGGCGCCAGGGGTTGCCAGGCAGGGCTCAGGAGCATGAACATGGAGGACAAGGCCCTGCCCTCAAGTGAAGGCTGTTGGGGTGCGGATGGGGCGGTGGGTGGGGACACAAACAGGAAAAGCGGGGAACATCTCTGAGTTGAACACAGAAGTGGCAGCAGGTTGGGATGCTGGAGCAGGTGGCTGGGAGCAGAGAAGGAGGAGGAAGGTAGAGAAAGAGAAGGGCTCATGGGCCCAGCCAGCATGGCTCGATGGTTGAGCCTTTATGAACCAGGAGGTCACGGTTCTATTCCCGGTCAGGGCACATGCCTGGGTTGTGGGCTAGACCCCAGTAGGGGGCATGCAGGAGGCAGCCGATCAATGATTCTCATCATTGATGTTTCTCTCTCTTTCTCTTTCTCCCTTCCTCTCTGAAATCAATAAAAATATATTTTAAAAAAACAACAAGAAAAGAAGGACTCACGGCACCTCCAGGGGTGTTAAAGCCCCAGGAGTGAGCCCTCAAACTCATCCACCCACATCATTTCATTTCACTCCATTCCCTCCGCCACTCTTCCTGGGGGCAGGGCTGGTGAGGGCTCAAGAAGGAGAGGTGGGGGCTGTGGCCCGAGGGCGGAAGACAGGAGGCAGTGTGGGGGGCCTCGTGCAAGGGAACTGCGGAACCAGCCAGGACGGGGGTGCTCTGGCCTTTTCCCGATTCCTTTTCCTCTCTCTCCTTCCTTCATCTTGCAGTGGCCCTGCATGGTGCCCAGGCTCCCATCTCGTGTCCCCAAGGCCACTATCACTGATCTCCAGTTTCCTTGCAGATTCTCAGAATCTGATGGTGCAGCTTGCCATTTTAGGACCAGCCTCGAGCCTGGTGACTGGCACTCTTGGCCGGATTCCAGCCCCGGCAGCCGGCAGGGGCCAGCGGGTAAGGTCCAGCCCACGCAGCCGGGCCTTTGTCCGAGCCGGCCCTTCCAGAAGGGGTGAGGGCAGGGCTGGCTCGGACTGAGGCCTGAGGTTGCTTAGAGCTAAAGGTAGGGATTAACCACCTCCATCCAAGTCATCTCTCTTCCCCAACCGGGATTCCACACTCGGGTTTCCTGGTTCCAAACCCCGTGCCTTGTCACCCCCACACTGGCCTGAGCTGAGCCCCAGCACGTCCGCTGGTGGCCATCTCTGTGACACCCCCTCTCTGCAGGCTGGGGGCAGCTCCTATCCCTCTCCTGGCCCCCGCCCACTCCCCCCACTGGCTCCAGTCCTTTCATTACCTCCTCCTCCATCCTCTCCGGCTTATAGATGGAGACTTGGCAAGTCCCAGAGGCTCCAGACAAACAGAAATCAATCAGAAGCGGATGCAGCGTGCTTTTAAAATGGGATTTCGACACCCTGTCCAAGAATTCAACTGAAGTGCCCAGCTTAAAACCATCAAGAGGAACCCTAGCTGGTTTGGCTCAGTGGATAGAGCATTGGCCTGTGAACTGAAAGGTCCCAGGTCCCAGGTTCGATTCTGGTCAAGGGCACATGCCCGGGTTGTGGGCTCGATCGATCTCCAGTGGGGAGGCAGCCCATCAGTGATTCTCTCCCATCATGGATGTCTCTCTCTCTCCCTCTTCCTTCCTCTCTGAAATCAATAAAAGTATGTTAGCCCTGGCTGGTTCGGCTCAGTGGATAGAGGGTCGATCTGAGGACTGAGAGGTCCCGGGTTCGATTCTGGTCAAGGGCATGTACTTTGGTTGCGGGCACATCCCCAGTAGGGGGTATGCAAGAGGCAGCTGATCAATGTTTCTCTCTCATCAATGTTTCTAAGTCTCTATCCCTCCCCCTTCCTCTCTATAAAAAAATCAATAAAATACATTTTAACAAATTAAAAAAATGTTAAAAACACAAACCATCAACAAGAGGAGTCCTCAGCCTCTGAAAGGCTCAGCATTGCTCCCCACACCCCCTTTCCAAACCCAGGCGCTGCGAGGTCCTGGGTCTTTATTGCTCTGCAACTTCCACAAAAGGGCCACCCGCACTCAAATTCTAACTCACTGAGCGGCTGGCCCCTGGCCTGAGAGGACCTTGATTTTTAGCTCCTTCTCAAGCCTCTTAGGGTGACAGCTGACCCAACCCAGACCCGCAGGGCCCGGAAGTGGGCTCTCTGCTGCAGGCAGGTCTGAACCCCAGTGGAGCGCCCCCACCCTGTGGTCTCGGTGGTGGGTTCACACCAAGCTCAGCGGGCGCATTGGGTCTTCTGGATGCGGGTGAAGGTGTCAGGGACGCGGAACAGTGGGTTTGTTCCCCAGTCATTGGAAACTTCTGGGCACCAGGGGTTTCTTCACCCACCAGGGGCCTCTCCCGCTGATGCAGGGAGGTGGGGCTCTTGGCCAGAATCAAACCCAGATGCTCCACAGGCCAATGCTCCATCCACTGAGCCAAACCGGCCCGGGCTAATTTTTTTTTATTGTGATCAAACATAAAGAACCTGCAGCTGCTGCCAGGTCACTGCGTCTCCTCCTCAGGTTGGATTAATTTGCCAGAGTAGCTCACAGAACTCGGGGAAACATTTCGTTTTCCAGGTTGTAAGTTCATCAGGAAGGGATGTAAGTCAGGACCAGCGGATGCAAGAGATGCCCAGGACCCGGTGCAGAGAAAGGGCCTCCTCTGAGCACACCCCGCTCCCCGATCCCCAGGCGTTCACCAGCCCCGAAGCATTCCACACCTCTCCTTTGGGGTATTTAGTGCAGTGGTCGGCAAACTGTGGCTCTCGAGCCACACGTGGCTCTTTGGCCCCTTGAGCTTTTAGCAAAAGGCCAGCTTTGGAGGACCCTAATTCAGTTAATAACAATGTACCTACCTGGATAGTTTAAGTTTAAAAAATGTGGCTTTCAAAAGAAATTTCAATCTCTGTCCTGTTGATATTTGGCTCTGTTGACTAATGAGCTTGCCGGCCACTG